ATGGGTATTTTAGGAATCTGGATGACGTCTAAAACCCGAAAATCGATTTCCGAAGCCAAGATGACGGCTTCCGGTTTCATTTTTTAAAATCCAAGGTGGCGGCTTCCGGTTTCAGAAAAAGTTGGAAACACTGCCAAATACCCTTCAATATGTATATTTTTGGAATCGGGATGACCTCTAGAGACTAAAAATCGATATCCAGTGCCATCTTGAAATCCAAGATGACAGCTTCCGGTTTCAGAAAAAGTGGGAAATACTACCAAATATCCTTCAAAATGTATATTTTCGGAATCGTGATGACGTCTAGAGACCGAAAATCGATGCCCAGCGCCATATTTGATTTCAAGATGGCGCTGGAAATCGATTTTCGGCCATCTTGAAACCAAAGATGGTGGCTTCCGATACCAGAAAAGGTGAAAAAACTACCAAATACCCTTCAATATAGGTATTTTTGGAATAGGGATGACGTCTAAAACCCGTAAATCGATGTCTGACGCCATTTTGAAATCCAAGATGGTGGCTTCCGGTTTCAGAAAAAGTGGGAAATATTGCCAAATACCCATCAATATGTATATTTTCGGAATCGGGATGACGTCTAGAGACCAAAAATCGATATCCAGCGCCTTCTTGAAATCCAATATGGTGGCTTTAATTTCAGAAAAAGTTGGAAATACTGTCAAATACCCTTCAATATGTATATTTTCGGAATCGTGATGGCGTCTAGAGACCGAAAATCGATGCCCAGCGCCATATTGAAATCAAAGATGGCAGCTGCCGATTTCAGAAAAAGTGGGAAAAACTGTAAAATCAAGCTGAACATTGCATTAGGTGCTAAGTAACATTAATCGATTCTCTTCGTCGACTTTCTCTTTCGATAATAACTTGAGCACAAAACCGGGTTTTGTTATGTTTGTCGTATTAGATGCTAAATAAAAGCTTCTTTTATCGATCTGTGTACTGAATATACCTGGAGATGTATTTAAATGGCCATGGGGATACAAAGAGAAAGTCGATGAAAAGAATATGTCAATGTTACTTAGGACCTTATGCAAAGTTCAGCTTGAAATATTTTACAGTATGGATATTTTCGGCTCATAGACGACGTGCAGATGCCGAAAATTGGAATGCAGAAATGACGTCAGCCATCAATTTTCCGTCTATTTAAGAGTATTTGACAGTTTTTTTTTAAACACGACTGTCATCTTCGATTCCAAAATTGCGTCGGACATCGATTTTGAGTCTCTACAAATCGTTCCCATTCAAAATATACCCATATTGTGGAGGTATTCAACATTACTATCCAGTTTATCTGCAACCAGAAGCTGCCATCTTGGAATTCAATATGGCATCAGACAGTAATTGCTAGTCCGTAGTTATCACCGCGAACCCCAAAATACCCACATTCATGGGTATTTGATAGTATTGTCAACTTTTCCTGTATCCTGTAGCTGCCATTTTGGATTTCAGGTCACTCATTTTCTATTTCTAGATGTAATTCTCTAGACGTCATTCCTTTTCCAAAAATACTCATATTGAAGGGTATTTGACTGTATTTATATCTTTTGCTGAAACCGGAAGCCGCCATCCTGGATTTCCAACTCGAAATTGTCTCAATAAAGACCAAACCAATATGGATTTCAATGGCATGTAAATATGCACAATGAACTAGTGCCATATTGAATCACTCATTTATTTTTTCAGACGTGAAAATCACTTAGGGTTTACGTGAAACGAACATAGAATCTGTAGAATCTGTGTATGTGTAATTCACGTAAACTTCACTAAAAAATTTGACGACTTCTAAAGGAGTTATGGTTCGCATATAAGTGGTATCAAGTAGAATTTACTTGGGCCACGTAAAATTGACAGCAAAGGAAAAAGAGATACCCTACGTGATTTTTCACGTAACAACAACGTGTCGATTATTTTGAGTGTACTTCGCATTCTCTTCCACTTCTGTCTTTCACGAGAATGTCCCACGTCTCACTATGTCAGAGAGGCTTTTCTCTAAAACTGGTGAAACCACACAAAATTGAAATCGGCTCAATGCAAAACGCGTGGCTCAATTAGTTTTCTTGGGATCCCTCTCGGATGAGTTTTGGGATATCTGAATTAAGTACTTTCCGAACTTAGCTGCTTTTACACTCTGACCAGGTAATCGTTTTGTTTTATATGTTAATCTTTCGTTTTTTTAAATCGATCATTTAATACCAATACAACGATTATCACTCACCTAGTCAAGTATCCTGAGAAAAAACTTCCACATGTAAAATGAAATCAAAATATTAATTTACTATATTCTCATCATGTATGCAACTTTTACTGCGTACGTACTACACAATTTATTTCTAAATCACTATTATAAGTGAAATGTCATAACAAAATAGCTTATATAACGTAATATCAACTTTAGACTGAACTTGACGTTAATATGCACCAGCTTTCCTATGATCCATTACATTTGAAACTTGTGTTATTTTGAAAAATTAATCGATTCAAAAGACCGCTTCAAAAAGATCGATTCAAAATAATTGATTAAATCGGTGAATCGATTATTTTCAAAAAAAAAAATAATCGATTCACTAAGATCGATTCTAGCCTCAAGATCGCCCAATGCTAGTTAGTATGCGTGGGCGAGCTATCAGTTACGCCAAACCGGCGATAGAATGCGTTGTTTAAAAGCTGATATGTCCTTTCGAAAAGTAATCGAGATTTTTAGAACGCGGGATCGTTATCACTCAGATAAGGAGCTTGATTCACTTCGGAACGCTTGCGCCATCAAGGCAACGGCGCTACCAGCAGCCAGTGATCTCGACGGGAACGACGCGCAAGGTTCGAGGTGCAAAACACGAACGCTGCGCGCGCTTGACAGGAACAACTGTCTTATTAAATGCTGCTGCTGCTGCTGCTGCTACCTTCACACCCGCCGTCCAGGTCCAAATGGTACTCGTGTATGACGACTGGGTTTGGGGACAACGTTTATTACATAAAACAGTGTTAGAATTATCACTTTTTAATTGAACATTGTTCAACCGTTTTTTAAGGGAAAAAATTTATGGTAGCAGATTTGGAGAGTTATTTCCTATCAATTGGTGCATTTGAATTTAAATTTCATCTATAAATGACAAAGTTATAAGCGTAACCTTGCACCTTTTCATGACGGTCGCTATTTTAGATTTTCGAATTACCCCCAGTACCTTTCCGCAAGACATAATCTACGTCAAAAAATAGAAACAATGTGTAGCTATTTGTTGTAGAAACATTCTGGCTTGTGTGAAAGCCTGCTTGAAAAGAAGGGTAAAGTGCGGATTGTGTTTAGTAGGCTAAAAATGGAAGTGAAACGAGGCTGATCTTTCATAAAAACTCGATGGTCCCATGATCTCTAACAGAATTGCTGCATACATAAATTGTTCATGTACAACATATAGGTACAGCCCGAGTCCCATAGCCAGGGGAGCTATAGGGCTGAGGCCTCCTCCAGAAATCATTTTAATATAATGTGAAAAATTAAAAACCTTTCACAGGTAACAGATATCCATTATATTGGGTCAGATTTTTTTTCACATGATGATAATAATTTCATGGGGGAGGGGAGCTTCAGCCCCATATACCCCCCCCCATGGCTACGTGCTACGATAAATATACATAAGGGTGTGCCGTGAAGGGACTAGAAATCCATGCCGATGCCATTTTGAAATCCAAGATGGCTTCCGGTTAGAGAAAAACTTGGAAATACTGTCAAATACACCATAATTCCCAGATTACAAAAATAGCCGTATTGTGGAGTATTTAATAAAAGTATTTCCTTGATTTTCAGCTATCGAATGCTACCATGTTGAATTTCAAAATGGAATTAGACATGGATTTCTAGTCCCTTTACGTTACCCCGATTCCAAAAAAAAATCAATATACCTGTATTTATCAGTATTTTCTATATTCCCAGAATCGCAAAAAAAAAACTTGAAGAAAACTAAAAGACTACTTAAACGGAGATTTCAGTACATCCAAAGCAGGATAAACACGAAAAACCTGGAATAAATCGCGGTCGGAAAAACGTGTAAACAATCGCATGGATTACTTCCCCGATACAATTAACTTGAGAATTTATTGAAACAATTATTTTTACATTTACAACGAATAGACAGGACTATCTCATCTATTAAATAATGATAATAGCCGGTACATCCTATGCTGCATGCGGACCACTATTCACATCTAACCTTTAGAGATGTCGCTCGAATACCGTCGCCAATCCTGAAAACAAAGTGTTTATTTGGCTTTCTATTCGTTCATCTAAAAATTATAATTCTTTTGAATAGTATTTCAAAATAAATGTAATTTCTCAACGTAGCTAGACTTAACTGGAAGAAGAGTTCACAGTGAGTCTAAAAGTAGGATTCGTATCCACGGTATGCTACTCTGCAACAAAGCACTTTTAAGGGGTTTGTTTGTTAACCTTCATTATCTTGATACTTCAAAGAGAAAAAAAAAACAATCTTCAAATCATGTCGATATCGGTAGGTGCTATTATCCCTCTTCTATCTCTGACTCTCTCGTTACCAAAACGAGTTTTCTATTTGAAGATCCACCCTTGCATTATAACAGCTACAACCGAAAAGCGCACGTCGAACACGAAGAATAAATCTCATTTCGTTTCTTATCGCCCACGAAAATATGACTACAAAACCTTTGATATTCAAATATAGCCGCACCAAATTTGACGATAACAACTCGATCCAATTTCTTAACGCTCTCGTGTTTCGCCTACTTGGGTGCGTGAACGCAAGAAACCAAAACAACTCCAATTTTCCATGAACTTTGATCTTGCTGCTGATGTCGTTTGAAACTTTTTCCTATCTCTTACATACAATATGGTACCACGAACAAATGCTATACGGTTTCCCTCCCATTTCTAGGCAACAACCTAATCAAATTTCTGTCGCGAAAAAAACAACTCAACAACTAATTTATCAACTTTCCGTTCCGTCCCACTCTTGCAGATCTCAAACCTGGTACAGCACCGGTCCGAACAGCAGCAGCACACCTCGGAGCGGACAATGCGGGCCATCGGTCGGGTCGGGCAGGCTGTCAACCTGGCCGTGGAACGGTTCGTGACGGTGGGCGAGACAATTGCAGATGACAATCCAGAAATCAAGCAGGACATGTACGATGCCTGCAAGGAGGCACGAGCAGCTGGTAAGTTGGCCGTTTCAAATCAATTCAATCCGATGGCACCACCCATCTCTCCTCTCCTCCTTAATCCAATCGAGCATGAATGACACGACCGCCAAATAACGTCCGCATATTAATTACAGGGACCTGTCAGCACCGGCAGCACGGCTGGCACAAGTTCGAATATGTGTGTGTGTGTGTATGTTGACAATCGTGCGGTCAAATCCGACCGATGCGCTGTGTGCACGTATGATGCTGATATGGTAGTCCAAATTCCCAACGACACTGCACTAATGGAACTAAATTCTAATCTTGATTAATGAGCATGCAGAAAGGCTACCCTACATAGTTAAATGGAATGCCGTGTGGCGGTGGTTGCAGCACCTGTGTGCGCGCAATCATAGTGTTTTGGTTGATGTGGGTCGTGGTGGGGGAAGCGAGTTTTATTGTCTCGGGTTGCATGTTTCAAAATTTACGTGCACAAGTGGTTGGTTGACGTGACACGGTGATAGTGCGGTAAAATGTGATTACATCCACACTGGCACTGGGCCCGCAGTCGGGAGTTTGTATCGAGGGTCGGTGTTTCGGCTCAACTGGTGGGACAAATGTATGTGTGTGTATGAATGTTTGTGATTCATTAATTTACGTTCGTGATTTCGTTCACGTGCTTTATTTGATAATAGTAATAGAATGCAAGATTGTAAGCCCGGGGGGATTATAGTGCAATAAATAAAATAATGAAATGATATCGCAATGTGGTCAGGATTTTCCAGGAATTAGCTAATTGAATATGATGATGGGAATATTTAAATGATAATTCTTCTTCTTCTTCGCATTTCAAGCTTATTGCTTATCGCATATGAGCTTATTGCGTGCTCTCGGCTTAGTGTTTTAGATGCACAATTGAGAGCTATCGATGCCTGTACCATTTTTGCATTAGTATTATTGTATGGCAGGCACTTGCTTTATAGGTGCGGCTTTACCGACTTACATCCTCTGCATATGTTTCAAGCAACAAATGTAATGTTTATTTATTTTCCTCAAACGATGTAGACTAGTACAAATACATATACAAATTTGTTTTTCTTAAGAATATTTAAAAAAATATTGTCTACTATTCTATTTTTACTTCGTACGAGTTATGATTCCGTATGGATTTAAAATATTGTTTAAGTTTATGCCGAGACATTGAAAAGTCAATGGTTTCGCTGTATTGATTGTAAGACGCCATCATGCGATTTAATGGCCTAAATTTTGCGTCATTTGTGCGATGATGGGTTACGGCAAATAAATTTCGATTTCTGAGTTGTCGAGTAGGTGTATACAAATTTAATTTTCTTAAAATTTCTGCTAAGTTAATGCACTGTGAAACGATATCGTTTACAAATGAAACCACTGCATATTCACATCGCTATTTTCATGTTTGTATTTTTATAAGCATGCAGCGTGCTTCATATGATAGAAGAGGAAATGATGTCCAACCTAATTTACGAAGGGCATATAATAGAAATTGCTTTTGTACTGATTCTAATCTATCTTCGTGCGTGATTGAAAATGGAGACCATACAATGCTGCAATGTTCCAGTATTGGCCTCACATAGGCAAAATATAGTGTTTTTATTGTGTATGGGTCCTGAAAGTTATAGTAAAGCGTTTGATAAAGCCTAGTATGTTATTTGCCCTGTGAATTATTGTAATGTAATGGTCTATAAAGTTAGTTTGGAGTCTAAGATAATCCCTAAATCCCTAACTCTTTCAAATTTTTCTACATTCTGATTTCCTAATGCAGTTGAAATGTTTGATAATGTTCTTTTTCTGCGTAATGATATTAAGCTCCATTTTTTTTAACATTCAGTTATAATAGGCTTTTTTACACCATGTGTAGAACATATGTATTTCACTCTGGAATATGTTGAAGTCTTCATCATTTCTTATTTCGTGAGCATAAATAAGCAATTTTATTTGTTTGAGAATGAAGGAAATGTCGTTTACGTATAGAATAAAAAAAAGAGGTCACAAATGAGGGTCTTGGGAGACTCCTGAGGTGACTTTAATTGGGGTCGGTATCTTTCCATTGAATTTAATTATTTGTTGGCGGTTAGTTGAATATGATTCAAGCCATTTCAGAAGTCCCGGCTCAATTCCAATTTTTTTTTTCAATTTAAAGAGAAGCATTGGTATGCGAATTCAGTCAAATGCCTTGCTAAAGTCTGTATACAGGGCTTCTACGTGGTTTCCATTATCCATTGCATTTAATGTATAGTCTATACATTCAAGTAAATTTGTTGACGTCGAGCGTCCTTCAAAGAAGCCTGTCAGTAATTCTATTTTTGGTTTGAAAAAATATTGTTTCATTTACAATTGCTTTGAAAAGCTTTGGAATGCAAGAGATAATGGCTATTCCACGATTATTACGTACGTCAGATTTCCGGCCAGATTAAAAAAAGGTTCGAAAAATGAGTTTTTCCATATTTTTGTGAAGGTTCCGGATTCCAGTGACATATTAAAAAGCCAGAACAATGGAGTAGTGAGTTACATTTGCTAGACTTTTTTAAAATACTGGAGGAATTCCGTCAGGTCCAGAACCTTTTGAGGCGTCTAAATTCTTTAAATCCTGTAAAATATCCTGCACTTGAAGTTGATTGTTCCTTGTTCCTTGAAAATTCTGGATAAAATGCAAAACAATCACGGTCGCGTTCTTCTTTGGAAAAAATGTCGTATAGATTGCTTGAAAAAAAAAATTGCAAGAAGATTACATTTTTTTCCGAGCAATCCCCGGCACATTCGTCAAGATGCATTATTGATAAAAAATTGTCAAATTTTAATTTGGTTTTTACGTAATTGAAGAAGTTCTTTGGTCAGGACTTTATTTAATGGCAGTTCTTTCAGTGGGCTGCAACGTACAAACAAGTTTTTCCTGAATTCATATTCTTGTATATGCATTGATGATGAGATGATTTACTAGCCTAAGTAATATTTTAAGTTTTATGAAATACTACAAAGCTACTATAAAACAACATTCATAAAACCCTGCTCAAGGCTGCTTTAACATTGATGCATCCACCAAAACCTCATTAAGACTAGAATCTGTCTAGTTGGCCCACCCTGGAGAAGGTTCTGAAAAGTGTATTCTCGAAGCTCTCTACAAGATTGAGTTACTGCAAAAGGTGGTATGACGAACGCATTGAGAACCAATTGAAAATCGCATTTTCAGCTACAAAAAAAACCTAGGCAAAAATAAAAAATATTTTATCGAGCCATTTACCCTAGCCAAGGAAACATAGATTGCAAATCGAAGGTTGTAAAAACAAACAAAATTGTATTAAAGCCTTTTTGTTTGATCCCAACCCATTCAGATTTATGGCAGCATTTATAGAGGCAAAGTTGCCTGCAATAAGTTAAACGTCAAAGTTTGTTTATCGTTCGATAGTTGCACTGTGTAATCCAGCGTTCTACCAGGTGATTTTCTCCCGATGAATTGTTAGCAGTTACTCAGAAAGTGTGCGATACTGTTTTACAAAACTTCGCATTTTGAACAGCTGGAAGCTCAATCATTCCCAAAAAAGATTCCTTCCTTTAGGATGGTTTCCGAAGTGCACCATTAAACGATGCAGGAATATAAGCTTGAATGAAATTTTTCGAAGAGTTGACCCTTTCCCCGAAAAAATCGCAGCTAATTTCCGCTAACTGACAGTTTCAGTGGTTTGCTGCCGGTGTAACGAACGTTTTAAGCTCTTTGCAAGCAGCAGCTTAACCGCCACTCTCCGAATCCAGAGCTGATGCTGATCAGGACGCAAGAGGCTCTCTTTAGGGTGGGTCAATAATGATCAAACACCGATCCCAATTAGTGTTTACGAGGGCCGATTGAATTCGCTTTACTTACTACTCAAACTAACTTAAGTCAAAATATAACGAAATGAAAACTATTCAGCAAATAAAAGAGAAAACTAGTCTATTAAACCCGGTCACCCAAAGTGAAGGCATCAACTCTTCCAAATCGAGAAATGAGCTGCTAAGCTTTAGAGAAAGTTCAACGACTTTGAAGTGCGCTATATTATATGGGACTTCAATCATCTCTTAAGGTTAGGGTGACGTCACAAGTATTTCAAAAATGTTCTTCGAGCTCGTCAGCAGGCAGGCTACTCAAACATGCAGTGGCACGGAAAAGGGTCCGATTCCTTTCGTGGACCGACCGGACACTGCTCAGGTCCCGTAGCAGGTTCATAACGGACGAACAGTATCCAGCAGTTGACGCGTAATATCCAAGGCGCATACCGGGTCTGACGAGGTATAGCTCTCCGGGACACACACCGAGTCGAACCGTTTGGCTGATGTCGGTAACAGGAATTCGAACCGAACGAACGGTGGACTTTCGCTTGCCGCAATTCCAACGACGGCTACTACTGGCTCCACAACCACAAGCTATCTAGGCGGGTGACAGATGCCTCGAACAATCAACGGTGACGAACTTCTAAAGGGTGATACGGTCAAAATTTGGTCAAGGGAAAACGCGTGTAAATCGGTGAAATCGTTTATTTAAAAAATCAAATTAAATTTCTTTTTCAAGTTCAATTAGTATAAAATTCAGGAAAAATATTCAGTTAGGCTTCCGCTTTTCCAAATCCGAATTGCCGGGCCTTACGCTTGACCCCTGCCATCAGATTTTGTACAGCCACCTTGTCCACCTTCTTCGCCGCAGAAAGCCAGTTTGCCTTGAACTGCTGCTCGCCCTTAGCAGTTTTTTTGGTCTTCTTTAGGTTCCGCTTGACAATAGCCCAGTATTTCTCAATTGGGCGGAGCTCTGGCGTGTTGGGAGGGTTCTTGTCCTTGGGAACCACCTGCACGTTGTTGGCGGCGTACCACTCCATGGCCTTTTTACCGTAATGGCAAGATGCCAAATCCGGCCAAAACAGTACGGAACAACCGTGTTTCTTCAGGAAAGGCAGCAGACGTTTATTCAAACACTCTTTCACGAAAAATTTCTTGGTTGACAGTCCCGGAAGCTATGAAAATGCTGCTTTTCA